CATGAGAGGTGACACTGACTGGAGAACATCCAGCTTTTAGTGTCTGTTTAACAACACACACCTGGAGGAGTCTCGCCCACACGGCGCTCTCTCTCTCTCTTTCCCCCTCTCTCCTGTAATTTCTAGTCTTTCCTGCTCCTCTGTAGCTTCTCCCTTCTTCCCTCTCTGTCATCTTTCCTCCATCTCCTTTTGTGTTTTGTGACGCACTCTCTTGCCTCGACTGTGTAATTATCTCTCGCTGATTCCAGGGGGTTCGGAGGAATTCAGCCCGCCCTCTCTTTCTCCTTCTGCCCGCCCCGTCCGCCTCCGTCACTCGGATGCTGAATGCCGTATTGTTCTCCCCGCCGCCACAAAGCCTTGATTGACAGCTGTGGGAAGCCGGAGAGTGAATTCTGAGAGTCCAGCCCCGCAAGCACCCCGACCCTCCCTCCCTGCCGCTGCCACCGCTTTCATTTAAACTTGTCACCCGGATTTTTCTTGTATCACGTCGTTTAGAAGACAAAAAAAAAAACAAGCTCCAGTCTGTCCTCATCATGTGGCAAGAAACAAAGTCCAGACTGCAGCTCTAATTTTAACATTATTTAACTCTTCACGGCAAAATCACTGTGGATTTTATATCCAAGATATGACTAAACTTTATTCTGCAAATAAAAATGTGAGCAAACTTGGCTGAGGTGAATTCACAGTCTTTCTTTCTCTGAATCCTGCTTCTACTTTTTCTCCCTGATTCAAACTACATGAGCTCCAACATCGACCTCCGATGCGCTCAGAGCACCAACGCTCTGCTCTTGAGGGCGATCAAAAAAGCTGCAATATTCATCCGAACCATCTGAGGTGTTTCCTGGGAGCTGATCTCCGTCAAAAAAAAAAAAACAAAACAAAACAAAAGACAGAAGGAAGAACCTGGAAATAGCTCGACAGATCGTCACGTGACCGAAGTGGCGTCATCGTTCACGTGCGTCAAATTCAGCTGCGATCATCGTCGAGCAAGAGGGCAGAGGCTGACCACAGCTCAGTGGTATAAAAGCATCACACAGTACTGTATAAGCAACAAACACAGCGATGGAGAGATGGAAAGAGAGACGGAGGGAAGCGTTTATCGCAGGTTGGGAGGATTTATCGGGTTAATTGTGGATTTTGATTGAAAATTAGGAAATTTTTGGACTCTTCTGATGACGCCTGAATCATTTTTACACAAGGACCTCAGACAGTCTAACACGCTCTTTTTGGAGCCTTAGCCTTCATGAAAAGAAAGAAATTCTGAGATAAACACAGAAAACTTGTCGATTTCTGACCCTGAAAACTCTCAAATTTAAAGCTAAAACTGGGACAATCAGCAGCGTCAGTCTGAAGGTATCAGTAGCTGTCTTTACAAAATGTTTTCTCTCCGACCCTTTGGTTAAAACCAGCATAATCCTGAGTGGAGAAAAAGGTCTGGCTTATAGATAAAGCACCACACACACTTCTCACGCCACACACACACACACACACACACACACACACACACTATCAGAGGGGATTTAAAGATTCAAACAGTGGTCTTGGTAATTAGGCAGATGGATTTGTGCCTCTCCTTGAGCTCCAGCGGGATATAAAGCGACACATAATGCAAGCGGACAAACTGTTTAAGTAGATTAATTAAAACCAACACTGCGGGGTCAAAGGTCAAGCCACCTTTCGCCGTTGACCTCCTCACTCTTTCCCTTTCCTTTTCCACTCCTGCCTCGCTCGTGAGCTGCAGGATGGAGCGAAGTGAGAGGATCTATGTGATTGGACGATGATGAGAACGGACCCTGAACAGATTTCTTTTTTTTTGTTGTTGTTTGTTTGTTTGTTTTCTTAAGCTTGAACATGGCCGCTCATTTTCACATCAGCGCCCAGAACTTTCACTCACTTCCCAGCTGAGCCTCTAGTTTGTCTGATTCCTCTTTTAAAAACACACTTTTATCTTGAACTTCCTGTCTTTGTATCTGCAAACCAGACGGTAATAGAATAAAAACCTGAGTCTCCTCTTTGCATTCCCTAATTGAATACAGAGAACACCTCGTCTTTGCCGCGCGCATGTGTGCATGTGCGTGTGTGCATGTGTGAGTGTGTGTGTGTGTGCGTGCATGAGCGTGTGGTAGCTGGATGTAATCAGATGGAATTAATATGCATGCTGTTTCTCATTATGGAATAACTGAACTGCACTTCAGATGTGTGACGTGCATCGCGAGAGGCACGGACAGATTTCTAACATCCATCCACTGCGCTCTCTCAGGAAACAAGTGTCTGTATATATATGTATATGTATATGTGTGTGTGTGTGTGTGTAGGCTGATGTGGTATATAAAATAGCAGAGATAGTGATTAGAGAAGAGAAGATACACCCTGCTGCTGATCAGATAACACTTGCTTTAACTCCTTATTGCATTTAAACTAAATCAAATTCACCAGAGCTGCATTAATCAGCTAATTGTGCTAATATGCATATCATGCTTCCTCACTGTGTTACAGCAGCGAGGTCTCGTCTTTCATCTGCAGCCGTAGTTTGCTTTAAAGTTTGAAATCTTTGTGATTCAATTCCTGTTTTGTTTTTAATGGCAGAAATCAATTTTAAAAAAAAAAGAGAAAGAAAAGAAAGCGGTTGCAGTTCCGGATCTCGCTCGGTCGTCGCTGTTGTTCAAGCACGGAGCCCAAAAAACTGGAAAATGCTCCAGCTGCGTTCAGATTTACAAAATCATATCCAACGAAAATCAAGTGTTTGCGCTCCTTTTCGCCTCCCTTTGTTCAACTGCTCCTGGCGCTCGACAATAACAAGTGTGTGTGTGTCTGAGCGTGACGGAGGTGAGTCTCATTAGGGGGGAAAACGACGCAGAGAACGCCGCCGAGGTGCTTCATTATCATACACGATTGAGAAGTGCATTTGTGGGCGTGAGTGCTTGTTTATGTGTGTGTGTGTGTGTGTGTGCGAGGGAATGAATGAGCGAGCGAGTTAGTTAAAGTGTGTGTGTGTGACCCCAAGAGAGTGTGAGCGACGGGCCGGCGGTAAGCTGGTCTTTATTAAGATGCGGCGTCTTTGGAGAGGGACAGCTGCTCCTGCCTCTAATCTAGAAGAACAAAGGTTTAATAAAGAGAAGATGAGAGAGATGGGGGGGGGGGGGGGGGTTAAATACTCCTCTGCCTCCTCCTTCTCTCCTTCCTCACTTCCTCGTTTCCTTCCTTCTTCCCTAACAACCGATCTGACTCTGCTTAAATAAAAGAAGCGACGGAAAAAAAGTGGTGGATTGCAAAATATCGCATCGAATCTAAAGATTTGAAACTTTTGACCTTTGACCTCTAACCCGCCATGCAAACATGGCCGCCGTGAGGCTAATACATCCAATTATTAACTCGTTATCTGTGCTAAAATTAGCCAAAAGTGACTTTTTTTTTTCCAATGCTACCAGGAGATGTGTCCCCGTTAAGCAAATAGACCGAGAGGAGAGGATGAGAGTGTCCAGAGAGAAACTACTGCAGCTATTTATGAGTGAGTGTGTGTGTGTGTGTGAATGAGTGTGTGTGTGAGTGGGTGGGGGTGGGTGGGGGTGGGGTCAGCTGCATGCTATTTTCTCACTCTGGGATGGTCATCACTGCCTGTTTGAAATGAACATCATTTAGCCCCCCCCCCACCCTCCCCACCACCACCCCCCCCACCCTACCGTCTCTCTCTTCGTCCATCAGCAGCTCACTGAAATATGCCTGCTCTACATTACTCCACTCATTTTCTATTTTGGATTTGTGGATAATGATGGTGGGATGGAGGGCAGCGGAGGGATAAAAATGATAAAAGAGGGGAGAGGCAGCATTAAAAGAATTATTTGAGGGGTCTTGAGGGTTCTGTCTCCTCTCTCCGTTTCTAAAATAGAATTTGTGATAGTCCCCGCTGCTGCCGCCGAGTCTGTCGAGGGAATAATGACTTATTTATCAAATGGCAGAAATATTCAGGGACAAGGCCTTTTAAATTCCAGCTTTTAAATTCATAGGCTTTTCTGCTGAGATGCTTAATGACAGTGAATGTATTCATAGTGATTTGCAGGTCCGAGATAGAGCCTCGTGTCCTGCCTGTGAGTCTAATAGCTGTATGACAGAAAGGAGAGAGCGCTCGCTCAAGACGAGGTGAGCGAGAAAAGTTTCACCTCTGACCTCACGGGGAGGCTCAGTGAATCAAATTTGTACCAGAACCAACCCAACACCCCCCCACCCCCCACCCCCCTGCTGCCAAGGAATAAATGGCTGTGTTGCTGGAGCAGCGCTGAAAACATGTTTTGCAGCTCGGGAGATAAAATTTAATGTTCTCTAAAAGCGCTCTGTTGCAGGCAATCAGCCATGAGTAAATGTTTCAAGATAAATTCCTGGAGGGGTGTAGTTTTTTCTCTGGCAGAGTGAGGCTCCTCAACATTTGGAGGGACCAAATCAGCATGGGGGTGGAGGGGGGGTGGAAGTAGAGGGGGGGGGTTAAGGAGGGGGGGGGGGGGGGAGGGAGGGAGGACGTGGGGGGTGAGGTGGAGGGAGGAGGGGGGGGGTGATAAATGAGTGTTATTCTTACTTGTACACTGGAATGGACGAAGTTTGGAGATGATGGCGGTGATGAGGCGCCGCGCGGGACAGCGTCGGGGGGTTAACGAGATGCACGCGGACACAGAGCAGCTTGCATGCGTCAGGCTCATGACAGAGCGCGCGGAGAACAGGGAGAGGAGCTCACAAAGTAGAAAGAGCGCTGTGCTCGGCGCAGATTATGTAGCCAAACGGCGCAAACTGTGCGTAATTACGCACCCGCAGCGCCAGAAGCGGAGCTCACAAGGCGGCGACCTCCTCGCCTGCGCCGCGTCCCGCCCTTATTTTTCTCCAAAACACCGATACTTCTGTCTGTCTCTATCTCTCTCTCTCTCGCTCGCTCGCTCTCTCTCTCTCTATCTCTCTCTCTGCTATCAACCCGTTCACAACCCCGAGGCTGTGGGAGAAACTGACCGGGCGCTTACCTTAACACGTTCCAGCTTTTCAGAGGGTCCAGGTCTGAAATTATAGAAACCATGGTCGACTGGCTGGGCAGCACCGGGAGAGGGAGGGGGTGCGGCAGAAAAAGATCGAAAGAAAAAGCGGCGGCAAAGGCTGTAAACTCCGTCTGCGAATGACAGCGATTGCTCGGATGCAACCCGTCCTGGTTGTTCAGTGGGTGATGAGCGCTGTCACAGCTCTCTCTCTCTCTCTCTCTCTCTCTCCCTCTCTCTCTCGCTCTGTCTCTCTCCCTCCGCCCCCTCCTGTACAAAGCCTGCGCGCTGCAGACGCGTCTCGGAGCTTCCTCCGGTCCCTCTCTCACAGGAAGGCTGCTGCTGGAAATGCAGAGATGTACAGTAGAGGAGGGTGAACCCCACCTAGGCAACTCATTTACCTATCTGCTGTCTTGAATATGCACGAGGTGCAGTTGACACACTGCAAAAAAATACATAAATAAATTAAAAAATTAAAAAAAAAACGATCCATATGAACGTCTTGTTTTGTGTCATTTTCAGATTCAGATCCAGAAGATTTTTTTCTCTCTTTAGAAGAAATGTTTGACGTGCAGTTTTACTCCTTTGAGAAAGAAAATGACTCTTATTTTGACAAGTTTTGACAAATGCAGTTGTCATCCATGACTCCAAAATAGAGAGGGAGTTAACACAAGAGCAAAATAAGAGCCAGGGTCTAATTTTTTAAAGATTCATCTAAAATTATTCAGTAAATAAATAATAAAATTATTATGTTTCTCCCCAAAAGCCCAATTAATTATCTAATGTTTCATCATCCAGCTAAAGCTGATCAGAGACCACCTGATTGAAGCTGCTGCAGCTTTCCAATGACTGGTCAGAGATTTTACCTCCAACACCTCAGTCAAACTCAACTGTTGGGTGAAGTGTGTTGCAACGCTGCAGAGCACCTCGCTGTCTGCACAAAACCCCCTGTCAGCGCTGACTTCCTGTGTGACACCACCACATCCTGTTGATAACTGCCCCTCCCTCTCCTCCTCTACCCCTCCACTCCACCCGACATGGCAGCAGATGCGTCATCCCTGGCGAAGAATGACAAGACCGCGGCCAAGTCCCACCTATTTCTGAGCTCCCATCTATTTGCTCATTGGGAAAAAACAGATGAGCCCCGACGGAGGGCGGGAAAAAAAAAGAGGAAGAGTGTCAGAACTGTGTCTGTTTCAGATAATTGTCTGGGACAACAGAAGAGATTGGGAATAAAAGTCTCTGCCAAAGCCATTGGAGTTACAGCACCTGTGGTTTGTTACTCTCGGGGATTTGATATTAGTCGTTGCACATGCACTCAAAGATAACGGTCAGTTTGACAGGAAGCCGCTGCGGTTTAATGTGAAACAGGTTGCTAGGTAATACCCTGTGAATATAAGATACAACTTGGCTTTTTTTATCCAGCTTTGTCATCATGAATTTTCAGTTATTCTAGCTGGTTTTTGGACTCACGCAACGATGGGATCCATCTGCTTCAGTTAGAACGTGTTTGAAAACCCCCAAAAATGAGGGCTGCAAGGTTTTTCTACAGCGATGAGCTCTCAGCTCATTTCCAGCTGACGTTCTGCGGAGTGGGAATACGAGTTCACGTGGAAAGGAAAACAGAGATTTTGAACTGCGAGTTGAGTACACTGTAGGCAAGACATAACAGTAATGTAAAGCTACAGCTCGGCTCTCTCACCATCAGCAGCCATACTGCACCGGCTTTAAATAGACTCAATTGGACATCTGCTTCACTGAGGAGGAGGAGGAGGATGGAGAGAGTTGACAGCATCTCTCTCCTCTTCCTCTGTCTCTATTTCTGTCTCTGGCGCTCGTACCGACGTATGGAAGACTCGCGCAAACGCACGCTCATCGGAGAGATCAAACTGAGTTTAGCTCTCCTCTGCACGCTTCTACTTCCTGCATTATAATCGCGTTGGCGAGCCTGACGTCTCCGAGTAGGTGTTGGTGTGGTCTGTACAAGTTAGCGACGCCTGTGTGCACGTGAGGAGGGGTCATGAGACAGGTTTTAATGGTCATCTTTAAGACTCTTTTGGAGCTCCAGAACATGTTGACCCAACTATCGAGAGATGTGATGTTTCTTTTCTAGGTTTTGTCGGTGCTTCTCTTTATTTCTAAATCTGTTGCAAAGGTAAGCATTGATTCGCATCGACTCCCGCTGGAAGCTACTCTGCTGTAGTTTGCTCGTTAATGTAGCTTGAACCGAGAGTGTTCTGCTGTTTGACCCAAAGGTCACATGTGCAAGCGGCCCACAGTTGTTTTATTGTTAGGCGCCACCTTGAGGCCGTAGTAACCATGGATTTCCCTTATTTTAACTTAATCCACCATCTTTTCTCAAACCTAATCAAGTAATCTTGGTGATTGTCTCTAAGATGAAAAGTTAACTTCACCAGTTTCATACATTAAGGTCAACAGCGATGACAGCCGGGATCAGCTCCAGCATTACAGAGCGGTACAGCTGATGGATGGAAGGTCGATGTACTCGTCATCCGGACACGTCTCAGCCTGTGAGAGCAGGTGTAGAATATCTTGTTCAGGGAGGTTTCTAAAGTCTGATGATGTCTGATCTCAGTTTGGTCTTTAGAGGCGACGAACTTTAGACAGAAAACTGGGAGTTGTGGGTATTTGTCAGGCAGGGAGGGGCTAAACCAAAGATGCCACTGCGTTGTATTATGGGAAATATGGGATCAGATGTTTTTTTGCAGCTTTTAGTCCCATACAAAGCACTAGACTCCAGGTTACACTAATAACTACTCACTGTACAACAGCTGCAGGTAGAAGCTAAAACGACCCTAAGGTCAGGGCCAACAGGTTGGCAACGTAACAGTTATGCATGTACAGTACAGAGTACAGAGTACAGTACAGAGTGTAATGAATTAATTACTGTAGTAAAAAGAAAGGCATAATATAAACAAAACCCACTAAGAAATAAACCACACATTCATTTACTTATATAACTTCTTATCATGATTATAATTCCTGCTGTTTGTGTTCCATCTTAACAGAACATGATGCTCATGCCGTCCAATCAGAATTTATAATTCCCAGTGGCCACGGTTTAATGAAAGTATCACCGTGCTGCATGTAGCACAATAACACAACATATGTGAGTGAGGGATAAGATACTGATGTGGATGAGATTAGACAAGCGTTCACCTGCGAAGCAGGAAAAAGGGGCAAACAGAGGCAGCAGCGGGGGTGAGTCGGGGAAAGTGGGAGAAAGGTGCAAAAGCCTGGTACCAACCAGGATTCACACCCATGCAGCTCTGTGAACTGGGTATGCAAATGACTACAGTCAGCTGCCTCAGTGTGAACACACAACTCTGCACCGTCACTGCCTGTTTGAACTCACTGGTCTCGTTATTAAAGCAAAGGATTAGGAAAAAAACAACAACAAAAAAAACTCATGTTCTTCGCAGGTACACGCGTTTTCACACATGTAACTCATCATAAACACACACACACACACACATACACACACACACACACACACACACACATATAAAGACACAAACAATATCAGCATGATAAACACCTTGTATTTCCCCCCAGCTTCTTTATTTGACAAAATCAGGCAGATCTGAGGACGAGCCTTGAGGTTTATGTCATCATGCATATGTGATGTGCATTTCAAATCTAAACAAAGTCAGTGTATCTTAAAACCACCCACTGAATACAGATTCCCATTTTACCTCAATCCATTTAAAAGGTGGGGGTGGGGGTGGGGGTGGGAGGGTTGGCAGTTGGGGGGGTGTTGGAGATGAGAGGAAGAGAAAAAAAAATAAGCAGAGAGGATGTGGATGAAATAAGTATGGGAGGATTATTTCATAAACGACAGAATTTTCTTTTCTGTGTAAGTCATTTGATCCTGTCAAATATGCCTAAAGCCATACGCCCACGTGCTCATTGTCTGGAAAAAAAAAAATAAAAATGCTCCGTTTACGAGAAACTCCCCCCTTTCAAACAATGAGCGGAGTGGTTGGCTGCTCGGCTCCACATCAGCCTCAGCTTCACTTCACCAGGAGAGGGAAAAAGGCGAATGAGATTTAAATCGAGGGGGACGCAGAGCGGCACGAACACGCCCAGGAGATCGGCCCAGTCAGCTTGTTTGTTTGTTTGTTTGTTTGTTTGTTTGTTTGTTTGTCCCATGCTGCAATCAGTGTGCCGCTAAATTGCAGAAGGCCTTCATGAGCCGTGTTTACTTCCAGGACGGCCGACATAGACGCAGAATAAACACAGCGGCTCCCTCTCCCATCTGGACCCTGCGCATCTCTAACACCATCTTATCTGATCTTCATTTACACCAGGAAGACTGCAGCGCTCTGACACACACACACACACACACACACACGTTTCTATTCTCTCTAAATGTCCCATGTGTGTTCATTTTAAAGCCACCGTTCATAAGATATAAACACATGTACAATATAAACAAAACAAAAAAACTTTACCTGGTGCTACCTGCCCTGAACCAGGAAGCAGACAGACGAAGCAGGCGACTACCTGGTGAAGAAAAAAGCGATCCAGATATGTTTCTCAGGAGTTGGTGGAGAACGAAACGGAGCTACAAGAGGAGTCAGTATTGGACTTACATTCAACAGGTGGACACAAACAAACATGGCTCCAGATTAACGCTAATGTTGCTCCATGTGTGCTGGGCATGTAGAAATGTCAATAAGAAACTGTTGGCTCATAAATTCAGCTTTAAAAGTCACAGTATGTCAGTGTTGTATTTACAGTTTGTTTCTGTTGCTCCTGGAGACAAGGACCAATAATTAACAACTTACAATTATACAAGTGTGATGTTGTAACCATGACCTGACAACCACAACGTTGTTGTTAGTGATGTTTTATAACAGCTCTCTAAAGCATCACTTATTATCTGTGTATGATGAATGAAGCCATTAGTTACAACTGCACAAACTTCTTTTTAGTTACTACTTCGAGCGACAAATTACATTATATGCAACTAAATCGCAGCAGCGAATACATTTTGAAGGAAACGTAATGGCGACCATGTTACGTTTTCAACTAAAGCAAAACGAATGTTAATTTACGAATTCAGCAAGTCAGAAATATGTAAATATTAGTTTCCTGTCAGATTATCTGATCTTGCAGGACAATATCCACCTGCA